ACTAACCGGTTGGTATCAATCACTGTCTAATCGGGCGGAAACTACCAACGCTGGTAACCAAGCGTTTCATTGATGAGGTTCAACACTGAACCATGAGCTGTCATAGTTACCACATCTAATTGACCCGCTAGAGGTCGCTAGGAAGAATCTTTCCATGAGCTCTGCTTTGTCCCCTGCTCGTTTCAAGAGTATACAGAGCTCATTCTGTCAGGAAATAAATTAGTGTATCTATTTGAAGCGATAAATTCGGCAATCGGCAATAATGTATGAACAATGAAGCAGCTTTCCCAGTTCTCGTGTTCATGGTATGCATTACCATTATTGCTGTGCTGCTGACCGTTGTTCAAATAACGACCGAATGCATGATGCTGACCCTGATGCGATTTCCAGGAAAAACGGTAAGAAACAGGAAATGAGACCGTACCATATGTGAAAGCCTGAGTACGTGTGTTTTCTCTTCCGTGTATTTCATGTGATGAAGGAAAGACCTAGTTACTGTAATGACAATAGAAACATTACAAGATAAATCCTTACTTGAACATCAGATCTACGCTGTGCATTGGCCTGATCTAACACTTCTGCTCTATTATTTACAAACTTAGTAAGAACTGCACGTTGTTTTCCAACAGTTTCCTGGTTCCTCGAAAACAGATGACATTTTTCAGTACGTTTTAACATGGCAGAGTGAGCACCAATAAAGAAACGCTGAATTACGAAATGTCTCCGATAAAGCCTATATCGGGTCAACTGACCTACAGCTGAGGCATAGAAATGGGTTGTAGCTTGTTGGTGGAGCTCACGCCAAGTGCACGCAACACTCGTTTAGACTAAACCGGCTGGTACAGCGATCATAGAGCAGGTATGTTCGCTCGAGCTCTTGTCATACGACGTATAAGAAGTGATATTTTATTCACCAGCCACACCAGTGAATAATCGTGACATTTTTGAAAGACATACAAAACGAGTTGAAAGAACGACCAGAGGCCACATCTACTTGAAGAGTATTGGCACAATATTTTGAATTTTATTAGTTTCTGTACATGATTTGAAACCTTTTAATAAAAACAAAAGATCTAAAAAAGAACTGGCAACCCTAAGGTGGATATTTCTTTTCCAAAGCAACTGTGATCATTTTACAGTCGTTGATTAGGATTGGGGATAATTTCACCCGCACGGCCTAATCTCATTTACGCTAGTGTTGACATGTTTTCTTGTCTCCTTGGCAACTGCATTTTAAGCGCCCCGGGTACTTGTCAACGTAGGCGTTTGCTGGGCTGAAAATTTGTTGGCGCAAAGGATATGAAGAAATATGATTATTGGAACTGGTAAGCTGGTTATATACCCCGTCGTAACCCTCTACCGAATCTGAGAGGACGACGGTGGTGAATTTGGATGGAAATGTAAAGTACATAATCCTGTTTTTTTCTATAGAAAAACGTAGACGTTGGGTATGTATCTCATGATATCTCGTGATCTGGACATACTACGGTCACGAATTTTGCATGGTAGATAGCTCTTTTGCTCAAGAAGTGAGTTAGTTTGGCCCCCTAGCGGCCTGTTCTGGAATTGCATGGGCATTTGTTGAAAATGTTTCAAGGAATATAACTCGAGAACCGATTGAGGAATCGTCGTGATGCTTGGTATGGAGGTAGCTTAAGGGATGCTGAACATAATTAAATGACAATTATGCAAATGATGATTTAGTGTAATTTTAGGGAAATTAAAAAAATCCACTACATTCCAAGATAGGACTGATCAAATTTGTGACTGTGTGAATATGTCAATGAGACATCAGCAGATGTCAATTTTGTAAATGAAGACCTAATTTACATAATTAATGAGAAAATAATGTAATTCCATAGTGGTAACTACGGAAATTTCATACTCTGGGCATTTGGAAGTTAAGAGAATGTGAGCATCATTAAGAATAAATTATTAAAATGACCTCATTTGCATAAAATGCTGGAATGGACTTCTTTGCTAAGACTGTCATTAGGTGGAATATATTACATTTATCATGAATCATGAATTCTGGCAAATGAGGATCTTATTTACATTATTAACTCGCCAATCGTAGGGTAAACCTAATTTGGCGAAGGTATGAGATCGTGGAACTCTAGTTGTAAACTGAGCTCGTCTGCCAGTTATCGAGTGTCAGTCTGGACAGGAGTTAGAAACTGCATGACTTGAGTAACTTTTGCAGCTGTTCTCGTCTCTGACCTGAAACATATCCATTCAGTGAAAAGATTACGACTTAACACGACCTGAAAAATATCAGTGGAAAGATTACGACTTAACACGACCTGAAAAATATCAGTGGAAAGATTACGACTTAACACGACCTGAAAAATATCAGTGGAAAGATTACGACTTAACACGACCTGAAAAATATCAGTGGAAAGATTACGACTTAACACGATAGCTTTTTCTGCCACCAGTTTTCTCAAGCACTCCTGATTCGTGGACATCTGCCTGGGAAAACTCCGTGACGAAGGTGTTCCAAAAATAGATCAGGACGGACAGTCGGAAGTACAGGACTGCGTTCTCCGAGAAAACTTCCCGTTGTGGAAGTCTGAAAGTTGGTTGAATCGTTTTCTCAGGACTGTTTATTTCGTCGCTGGTTCCACAAAGCTGCTCTTTTTGTTGGACGTTGAGTAAACTAGCATTGACCTCCTTTTGTACCAGCACATTCATGACAACTTCACGAAAATTGCAAGTTTTCAAGGTAAGTCTGAACAGTGCTCTGTTATTAGCTCCCACCCGAAACAAATCACGAGTTACAAGGGGTTTAGATCAGCTAAATCTTCGTATCTCTTGTTCTTACGCCATGATTATGAGACAGTTACAACGTTATCTTGTCTGGCCGCTACTTTTCTCTGTTTTTTCTGGTCATGCGGTGATGATTCACTGACCATAAGAACCCCGTGATCAGCGTTGCTGAACATCCTATGACTCACAAAGCCGTGAAAACAGCTTGGTATTTTACACGGAGGATACTTGGCCATAGTTATAGGGACGCTGTATACATGCGAGGGGGCGTAAAACACCCCAACGTTAATAATTGCTGTTTTCATTCTGATTTCCACTTTTTGAAGGAGGTCTGAGATGACCTGTAGTAATCGCAGAAAAACCGGGGAAGCTGGTAAAATCTTGACTTCTGCTTGCCCTCGCGGTATCGCATACATCAGCAATACCTGTTCAATTACTAGCGAGGTGGGATGATTAACCCGTGAATAAATGGACTCTCCTGTTTGTGTAACAGCTTAGCAATATTACTATCAAATACCCTCAGCAGGAGTGCACAGGAATTGTTAACACACCTTTACAGAAGTATGCCTAGTCTTCTTTGTCGATCCTCTTCCTTGTTGAACATTTCCTGAATAGGTATACCACAGGGTTTATGTACAGAAGAAATATTTTCCTTAGAGTAGTTTAACTGATAATTTGCAGAATGTTTTAAGAGAACTGAAGATAAAACACACCAGCTACCCTCTTATTTCGGCTACTTCCATTATTGATCCACAGGGCTACGTTATAAATGCTGATTTCAGTAGTATCTTCACGTCTTTTCCAGCTAAAAATGCATCAAATATGTAGAATTGAGAATTAAGGACGGTCATACTACACTACACGTGTACGGCAGAAGCTATAGAATACAAAGAATCAAAATGATGCTATGAAAACACGAGCATGATTGAGATTTTAAAGAAAATGTAATAAATATATGGAAAGTGACTGCCCTGTCCGCGCTGGCCAATGTAATTTTGGAAGCTGAATCATCCCTGGCCCCTGGCCCGTTGGTTTCTCGGACGTACATGTAGCCACTGGTTCTGTGGAATCGGTACTTTCTGTCCAGAAAGTAGTCCACGGACACGTCCTTGGCCCGGCACTGACCTCTGCGGAACTAACCATGTTTTATAATGGTGTTTATATAGCAATTTTTTAAACCAAAGTGAACGGTCTAGTGTTATCAGAATTGTGTGCATGATATGTGAACAAGGTGGGCAGGATTGGGTGGGTGATGTACGGTGCACTTGCATTTGGTCACTACTCTCCAAGCAGAGGTTTGGGCTTCGGCTTAGTTCTGGCCTGTTTTAGCCGTTTTTATCGGGATCTCTTTTTTGTATAGATATCTTTTTGTCTGTCAAATGTATGCTGCCTGGCTAAATACTGCCTTTGCCACTACCCAAAGGATATGCTTGTACTTGGTCACGAGCAGGTCCTGAGAGCAAGTTCTACCCGGAGACCTGCAAAGTGGAATCATAGTGTTTAGATATGGCTGTGGATAGTAGCCTGCTAATGGCAAACTCGTTATATATGTTAGTTCTCTTTTCGTTGTGCACTGCAAGAGCCTGCGTCTTACGTTAGCTCTCTCCGTAAGCTCAGGTGTACGAGTACATGTACATGTACATGTACATGTGAATAATGCGCATCGTGAGCTAGTTTTAATGCAGAAATTTAGAAAGTGTTGACACTAAAGTTGCAACATAAACGAACGGTTGTTCACGTCTTGTGAAGTCTTGACTCAACTGGCAATAAATTGACAAACAATGATAACATACTGCGTGCCTTTTGATTTGTGGCAAATGTCGAAAGTAAATTATCGTTTAACAAGAACAATGACCGCCATATCGGACAACCTGTAAGGACTACCGTTTTTGATGTTGCTGATGTCTCATGCAAACATTCAGATTCGTATCAATCAAGTCATTTAGAAGGGAGCTGACTTACTGTAAATGAATGATATTAAGAGTCTATATTTAGAATAAGCTGAATAGTTGAATAGAACTGAGAAGAAACCGAGACCCGTGTGTCATTGTGTTAGGGGAGGGCGAGTTTGTTTCGGTCTTTTATCGATGAGGCTGATCGAAACTTCCAAGCGTCACCCTGGCCTAGCGACGGCAGCGCTGATTGGTCACTATGTATTGATCACTGTCCAAAAAAGATTGATTGGCAGCACGATTGAAGCTAGCTGTACAGAATAAAAACGGCGAACGGATCCATGCAGCTCACGTCAAGCATTTCCAGGCTTCAGTTCCTCTCCTGTGTGCATGTGTGCTTTGCAAACGCTAGGTGGTCCTAGGTCAAGGTCAAGGTATCTCAGCTCTGATGTCATTTAATTTGGTACGTAACAATATATATTCATTGTATGCGTCCGATAACACAAACATATATTGTACTTTGTTCAGTCGTCGTTGCCATGCGTTGTACCTTGTACATTTGTGCAATAAAGTTCTTCCTAACGCGTTACATGGTCTATGATATGTCCTCAGTCTGTGGGGATTGGTAAAAGCTAGTTTGGACGTGTCATTTTGCTCATTCGATTTGTGTTGTTGTTGTTGTGTGTTGTTCTCAAACGGCTCTATTCAAAGACTACCATCGACACAAGTATTTTATGTAAGACCACAGTCTAACACATCGTCTTGCATAAATCTGTAATCATGCGAGCCTGAATCATTTAATCAGCGCCGCCTGCGAATGGTTGCAAAGGTGCAGCGACATATACATATATACTGTGGATACACGTAGTTCGTTGATCATTTCTGTGTTAGAAATTTCGAGTGCTAAGAACTAGTAACGGGGGCCTACATGGCTGCTGGTCTAATCAAATGACATCCTGCCCCTAACCTTCCCCTACGCTCGTAGATCAGGGCAAGTTGGAACGTGCTGTTACATGTTGTAGCCTGTGACATTTGACACACTAAGTGAGGGTGTGTGTGTGTGTGTGTTTGCTGATGACGTAGCCCTCTGGTCGGCCCGTACCTGTCAGGTTGGTACGTACCCAGAGGTAAGGTTTCGTTTTCGAGAACACGACGGGAGACAACATTATGTGCTGCACTTGAGTTAGCTAACAACTGTCGTCTTCACCAGCATGAATTCAATGTACGATAGAGCTGTCCGATAGCTGGCTAGAAAATAGTTTCGCTTTCTTTAGAGACGCTGTCAATGGTGGAGAAAAGATGGCCCTCACATCTGGCGACAGAGGCAGGTGTAGTGAGGAGCCCCACAGGTGCGCTAACTCCGCCCACCAGCCCCCTGCCTGCGCGGGATCTACAGACCTACCGAACTTCAAGCTCCTGCAAGACCTGGCGTCGGCACAACAGGTGAAGTACTGATATTGGAGCCGAAAGTGAGAACCTGTAAACCCCCACACAGACTCTCGTCCAAAGTTTCACAACGATAGCATTTAGCTTCCAAGAAGCCGCTTTTCTAAAGGCCATCGAAACTTTGGTGATTATGTCATCGATGTGCCACAGATGCCATTGAATCCGCCTCGAGCACTTTCCTCAACAAAGAATATTGAGCGGTAAATCATGTAAAGGATTTTGGCAGCAAACCTATCGGAAGTTGCGGTCAGTCAGTTTGCTCTCCCAGATCACTTTTACTGATAAGATTTTGATAGAAACGTGCGTAACGTTATTGGTAGCGATGATTTACTTAGTATTTTACACTGGAAAAAGTTCCGAACTTACTAAACGAATCGCTATTCCGGTTCACCGAAAAAACATTGTGCTATCCGTATTTTACACCACAGGGCTGTCTTGACTAGTTAGTAATGTTACTATATTGCCCCTTGCCATCCGACCTTACCAATGATATTTGTTTTGTCGTAGTTTTACGGACATTTTAAACCTCCGCAACCATAGTTATAGCCTCTCTGCAATTAAGCGTTGGACATAATATGAAATTTTGTCTCAGAAACGCTACTGATTGGTAAGGCGTTCAAACTTTCAATTCCTTCTCTAGTACCATTGACCACCCGAAACGTCATGTAGCTGCTTTTCAGACAAGCCTGTTTGAAAAAAAAATTAGGTACTACTGTGGTGCAATTATGTACTACGTTTTGTGAATCTCGAACACTATGATTATTGTCAGCATTTTAGTACTTAATTTGAACGTTATTGTGCGTTGCTCATGGTCTTAGGCAGGAATAGCCAGCCACACTCCGTACAAAGAAAGTGCAGTGACCTCTCGGCCTCTGCCCATGCAGATGTCTGCTGAGGAGGACCCACGAGCCCTGAGACGGCGGGAACGGAATCGACTGGCAGCCGCCCGGTGTAGGGAGAGGCGGAGGGAACGGGCAGAGTTCCTTCGAAAGGTAAAACTACAGAAATGCCTAAAGTTCGTCTCTTTATAGAAACAGATGTACCAAGCATATTCCTTTGACGTTCATGAAACATGTATACATCAGCTGTAGGTGTTTGGTAAGCCTACTAGCGATTTGAACAGCGGTGCTAAATACTGTTGTTTAAAATATTTTCTTACTTTCGTTCACAGGAAACACTTCAGCTTGAAAATAGGAACCAAAGTCTGCGAGCCAACATCAGCAGGCTACGCCGGGAACGAGAGCGTCTGAAACAGGTGCTTTCAAGTCACATGACCACCCACCACGGAGAGGGGACGCCCCCTGTCTCGTCAGGCGGCGGAGTGACCCATGACGGAGGGGGCTTCCCCCAAGCGGCTCCCGGGGGACAGGGGGTGCCTACTCTGGAGAAGGCGCATTTGCAATGATGTATGACGTGGATAACTACTTATCCATGGAAAGGTCTCCATCGGTACTGGATGGCAGGGGTGTTTCTCTGGGAAACGTGACACATGACCTTCTGCACCAGCCAATCATGCCCCTCTCCGAGTCACGTCATCGAACTAACGAACAAACAAACTGCTAATACCTTTGCTCATCATATCGAGTGAGGTTTGTGTTTCGTCTGATGTGAAGCGTGAAAAGTACATGTTATACTTAAAGTTAACATCGACTAAAACGGTGTGAGTTTAATATATCATGCTAGCGTTACATACTAGTGTATAAGGCTGAGAGAAGCCTCCGCGTCTCCAGCTGTTTATGTCATAATCATACGTTCAAACATATTCATATTTCAGTTTCATGACGTTGTGTCGTTATAGAAATCTATTATCACAAGAAATGAAACTAGATGAATTTTCTTATATGAAGCTAGAACAATGTATAGTCCGCAGTTGGTGTTTTGTTAGTGTTTTGTTACAGTTTGGAATTGTTTTTAGCCAAAGTAATATCGAAATCAGATATACGCATGCGTGGTTTCTATTCCACGTTTTCTGTTCAAACCGTCCTTCTAACCACATTTGATCCACACACAAGAAGTCCTCTAGATCAATTTTGCTGTCGGGAAGAACATGGAAGGAAATATGAGGTGAACCGAGCCGAAATGTAATTTGAATTGGCCCTATGTAATGTAATGAAATGACGAACGTTTGACCATCCAAACAGGAATCGCGGGATTAGCGTTATAACAGTTACATGTTTACTGGGAATAAGACGTTAGCTTGATACCACAAACACACTGCCTATATACGCAGCTAATACAGCGAACATGATGATAGCTGATTTCGTCACGATACTAGTATAGAATAACTTTATTGAGACGGTGGCTACTAATATTTTCTGTGCAAATCACTGATTCTGTAAACCATGTCGCAATTAATGATGGCCGTTTCCATCTCCACGTGAATCATGCCTTATTACAGAAGTCTGTTATTTCAGTAGAACGAAAGTCTGTAGACGTTGTTCAGTCATGATGATTGGCGGCTTCCCGGGAAGGAATCCTTCACGTACCGCCTTCCAGGAAACTGGTCTTGGGGATGTGATTGGTCATGCAAGTTGTATCGTTTTCACTTTTAATAGAACTGTTTGTATTGTAAACATGAGGAAGTCGGAACTGATACTAAAGCTAGTTCTGTACAATTTCTTCCTGTTTGCCGTAACTTACCTGCACTTTGAGACATGTCCGCACGGCGGCTCTTTTTCGATGACGAAATATCAAAGCCTGAGGTTTAGCGTCAGATTGTCCATATACACTGTTGCGATTTGTTTTAATGTTGGAACAAAACTCATATCACGACGGAGCCGTATGATATTTGATTTGCACAGACAGAACGATTAAAAAGTCTCATAAAACGGTATATCGTTGTCATTTGACTGTCCAAGCCGCATTGATATACCTGTACGGTCCATTGTCGCCTCAGAGCAGCAGAAACTGCAGGAAGGCTTTCGGTCTGAATCACTTGTATATTTTTCCTGCATGAGTAAAAGCCGCCATTATTTCGCTGTTGATCATCTGGAGGCCAATTATTCTTTCATCATCTCTTTAGCTCAGAGAGGAACGATGACGTCATTGCTGTCATTACAGGAAGTGTTATGGTGAAAATGATAGGATTACTAGTTGCTACAATAGCTGCTTCCACCAATGGAACATGGAAACTGACGTTGCCATGGTGATATAATGCGCCTGGAGTTATGCGTGGGAGTAAATTCACGTGCCTTCTGGACAAAAACGGTCTTAGGCCGTGTTTAAGTGAAGACACCCAAGGCGCTTTACATGTGGTTTACCCCGAAGCCGGTTTCAAGTGGCTCCATCTGAACGCTCCAAATCACATTGAAAGCGCCTCGATCCCAAACCACTTGTAGAGGTGGTTTCGAATCGGTTTTCCCGCATCGCGATTTGCGTCTGAACGCAATGTGATTTCAATGTAACTTCGCCTGGTCATGGATTGCGGGGTGATATTTCTTTATTTATATGCAATACCAACTTTTACGTGGCAGCAACTTAAAGAGCAGTAATGGTCAAATAATGTGTCCGTTCTAGGGCGAGCTTCACTGCCTCTGGCGGGACCACGTCGGCATTCGGCCGAGATACGCTGGGAGGGGGGCACCAGCAAGCAGGTCGTTGACCTCTGACATTAATAACACGCTACCTTGCGTGTTTTCATCAAACAACAATAAATGTAGCTCGAGCGAATTGTGATCGGACACGGTTTGAAAGGATTGTGTGGCACGTGGACCAGATGTGAGGAATGTGAGTCACCCGAATCGCGGTTTGGGTGATTCCGTATAGACACGGCCTTAAACACGGCCTTGAACACGGCCTAAGCTATTTTGGACAGTAAAGTATGCACCGTTTCGCATTTGTTGTCTTTTAATCTTATTATTGATATGGATGTTCAACATATCATGTTGCAATCGTCTCCATGGTGATATTGAAATAAACCTGCTATGAACGCACCCATTGCGCCACTTCGTCCATTACGTTACTCAGAAAACGTCCTGTTTACACAAGTGACTCAGAAGTTGACAACAAACCAAATGACCAACACTACATTCTATTTTGTTGCCTTGAGTATTTATTAGCTGTTGCTTACAAACAACCGTTACAACTGTAACGTGATTACAAAACTTAAGGGGAGCGTTTGGTTTTCAAAGGGTATGACGTAAAATCTTTGGCAACTTCCCAAGGAAAGAAACATCTTGCTCCAACTCCTGCTCATGGGAATAGCCATGTATTAACAAAACACTAGTACTTAATGGTTCATCTGTGGCCATACCACATTGATGCCAATCTTTTGTGTTCATGAATTGATAAGAAAGGGATGATTTGAAGCATTGATAATTTGATCTGAAGACAATGTGACGTCGTTTTCAGGTCGGGTGAACATGTAATTACCGTGCGCCCCCTGGCCATGGGTCGTGCCAGTCTGACCAGTTACCGCAGTTTTGTGGTGTTCGTCATCTCTGACAACATCTGTGATTTGTTTCCAAAAATACAAATCAGTCCTTAGTATTGGTACGTGCTCGTACAGCACTGCCTGTCTGTGGGGCTACATCATGCAATGCTCGTCCAGGATACGAGTCAAACCACCTTGAGATGTGACACATCATATCTATGGTGCTGAAAGTTTCACTGTGGCATTGCAAGTTCTTGACCAAAACAAGGACCAAAACGCTTTAATAAAAAAAGTACTTTTAAGGCGCTTCGTCGACTCCCAGAACTGGTGTTCATCATTGCAGATGTTTCAGGAAATGGGTTTATTTGTCACGAGGGTTTCATTGGTGATGCGAAAAGTTTGTACCGAAATATTGAAATCACAAAAGTTGTAGTAAGGGGCACGAAGAACAATGCATTATTTTGTTTCGGCCTCACCTGTCAGGGCAACATTTACATATGACTCCGTCACCAGGGCGGGCACATCGTTCACACAGACAATGCGCGCCAGTTTACACGTTTGTTTACCGCCGGGCGATCACGGGAAGTTCTGACTCCTGCTTCCTCGAACAACAACGGATACCGTGTGTCTTCTGTCAGAGAATCAAACGTGGCGGCGAAAAACAAGGTAGGTCTGCTCTCTCTGTATCATCGTTACCTCAGCTGTATATACACACCTGGTTACAGGTGAGGAGGGTGTTTATCGTACAGGTCGAACAGGTGGCCCTGTGGTGACTTAAATCTCTTAAATCTTTCGTTGGTGACTGTTGTTATTGTTGGATTCTATAGAATATGACAACAGACTCGCATGTAACATTTCCCATGCTTGCATGACTGAACAGATTTGTCCACGCGTTTCCTTGTTGTCATGTTGTGTGGGGTTCATGGCTTTAGCAGCTGCAGCAAACAGTTGATATTACTCTGGTCGCGCTGTGACATGGGTCTGTTACTGTGGTCGGTCGCCCTCTACCATGGGTCTAAATTAAAGGACAGTTTTTATTAGTCGGTAAGTCTCTACAGTAAGTGGGATATTGTATCCACAAGACAGCCACGCTGTTCCAGTACCATCGGTATGTGAACCCCCATTCCGAGCCCCCAGGGACTGGAGTACATTAAGGAGCTACCGGTATCTATATAATATAAATTATCAGTTATAAATCACCAGATTGGTGGTTCATATTGCTGCACATAACAGTAACTGCCCTCCCCTAAACTTTAGCCTTATAGCAACAATCAGAATATCTGGTCTAAACTATAATATCTGGTTTAAACGGTTAGTTGCTACCTTCCACCCTAGCCTAGAAACCTTTGATACATGCCTCAGTAGGTTTGTTACCGGAAACTTGTAAGGGCATTCATTGATAGGAGCGTATCCAAAGCAAATTAACTCTTTCTGGAGAAGACGTCTTGTCTAAAATGAAGGAATCACGTTTATTTGGGCCAAATCAATTCTAAAACGTTAGATAATACAATAATGCAACTTTGAAAAATGAGCCAGATTTGGGAACCACGGGCGCCCTCTGCTCCTGTGTTCCCGAACCCGATATCTGAACAACTAAAGAGCGCAAACTTCGTCGCCTGCTGAAGTTCGTCCTCATACCACGTCCGCCCACAATCTTATTCTCAGTCAGTGTTGACCATGTAATCAATCAAATTTTAGTGAAGGGGAAGTTTTCCTTTGACAATGATAAGACGTGGAGACTTAGTCAGGATTGTGGTGCCTGGTATAGGATTACTGTCTTCTGCACGCGGAGTTAACTGTGATTTAGCGGAATAATAGATGTTAAGCTCGACTTAGTTATTACACAACTTTGTATGTATGTAACAAAGTTGACCTGCAGGTCTTGTATTGTTCACAAACACAAATACTATTTGGGCAAAACGAACGTGCGACCTGTGAGGCGGAAGGACTAAGCCTTAACTTGAATGTCAAGAAGGAAACAACTTCTGACAGTTTGTTTCCTTCGGAATACTTTTACATTCCTGCTGTAACATAATCAAACTAGTGTCGAAAAGTGGACAAGGTTCTTTGGATACCAGCGGATATATCATGCATGATATCGATCATTGCCACTATATGGAATGATGCCCGATCTGAAGCAGCTTGTAGACATACTTTTCCGACTATGTTTGTAACGTTAATTATGTCAGATCAAACTGTCCAGAGGCTGAGCACTGGCGACTGCGTGGGTCACTGTTACCTAGCAACGCACCAACAAGTTAGGCTGTCCATAACTAGGTTAGTGTGGTTATTGTATCATCTTTGGTAACCTCGAGGAGAAAAATAATACATCATCGCAGTTATTCGAGTTCAATCCGAACATACAAAAATCAAGAAGGAAACACGGACCTGCAGTAGCTGTGATTAAAGACATGTCAGTAGGTATTTAATATACGCACGCGACATGCGGGTACCGTCCTTCGCAGTCCGCAGCAAGATCACTGATAACAAATAAACTAGTCTTTAGACAAAACTGCAGACTTATGTGCCTGTGATTCAACACGCAAGGCAGGATCGGCTTTAAGAATGGGGGCTCACTGTAAGACACTGGGAACCAGGGTACAGTAGGTTGATTTGTACCAGCGTTTCCTCCAGAAGGAGGAAGACCGAAAGCGACAGCGGGGGTCACTAAGGAGAACACCTCATTTGAGTTATACGCGTACGATTCGAGATCGATAGTAAGATTTACCGTCGGTCACACAGATTCTGCTTTACAAAAGAACTCCATTGCTCCATCAAATCAAATCAAATCAAATCAAATTTTATTCAGTAAGGCTCTCGCGGGCGAATACCCGAATTTCGTCCTTATTACAGTATATAGAGCATTTAAAACAATGACATGAAAAAACATAGGCGAACACAATACATGTATTAAGACATATTCGATTAAAATCTATGCATAATATGCAGTTATCACGAAGAATTTCCTTTACAGAAGCCAAAGAAAGATGTATGAACATACAACTTGTCGCACCCTAAAATGGGGTACTGGTATAAGGTTCATGTATGGGTCACACTGACCATTAGCCTGAATAGTCTTGACATAAATATATGTTTAAGCACCAAACCGACAGTTTTCGTGCATGCTCAAGAACAAGACGTATTACACACCATAGATTAGCTGACATAAAACTGAGCTGGTCGTAAAAGAGTCAAATTGAACAAAGCAATGATATACAACACAGCGTTTCCACATGGATGACACACACATTATGATGGAGACAGGTTTAAATATCGGGTCAGTTGGACTGAAAGGTAAAAAGGTCGGGTCCAACTAAACAGCGAAATACAACAAAAGCACGCTGGAAAATCGCGTACAGTTAACTTAAATGTTCATCCAGACGTTAAGATGACAATATCCAGTATCATCGTCACTGTCTATCGTTAAACCTAACAGGCAAATATTTTCCACCTTACTTGCCACATACGCCATGGCATTTATTAATTGTACGTTTTCGTTTTCATTACTTCCACGTGGAGAGTTAGAGAACAACAGGAAGGGTTGACGCGGTAGAATCACAGTACGACTGGGTCGCGTCACACCGGTCAATCCTTAGCCAACGCAGGCTGTGTACAAATATCAAAACATCCTGCGGAAGCTAACAACTTCACAACCATCGCATAAAACCAGCCACGATTACCAAAGTAGTGGCCGCCTGAATATTTCCAATAGCACTGCGAGAGTCTGTAAGAGAAAATTTATCAGTCAATTTCACAACATTTCCCTGCAGATGTAAACATTGCCCTACACAAATTGGAAAAATCAGGGCTGAGCTTGGACCGTTTGTATACGCAGTCCGGCGATTCAAGGGATGACTGTTACTTTGCTAGTCACACCGGGTTGTTATCATACACTCTCTGGATTTCTCAGATATAAAAAGGTAATGTTTAACCGATATCATATATCCCACATCAGCATTGACGCACGCGGGTCACAGGTCAGCTGCTGTACTGATACAGACACACCTGTCGGCGTATTGTAGACACTGAGACACATTTCCTCTGGCATTGAATCAGGCTGTACTAACTAATCTATCTGTTCTGGCCGTTTCAGATACTCTGTGTCCTGATTCGTTGGTGGATTAAATACTAGTAATTGTCACCTGTGCTCATCTGTGAAGACTGTTCCAGCGGCTCTTGTTATCTGTACAGAGGTAGCAGTGGACTGAGTCTAGTCCGGCAAGACTGTAGTCGCCTCCATTCTTAGGAGGTAAGTCTTAGGTCTCAGCACATTGGAGTGTGACGTGAGCACTGAACGGAAGATTACTGATACAGAAAACATATTGCCTGTTGTGGATACACCGCCCTGCTGGAAAAAAAATGTCAGCAGACCTGACGAACGGGCACGCGGGAGAGCCTTCGGCGGGGCAGGACGCGCCTCTGTCCGAGCGGGAAAGGCTGGACCAGGCGGCACAAGACTGGGTGGCGGGCGTGAAGGAACGGGAGGAGCTACGGAAGCAGATCCAGGAGAAAGACTCGGAACTGCAGGCCGCACAAAA